AAATTATGGGATACCTCATCAAAATTGAAAAATTAAATATAATGCTAGTCAATTTTTTTAGTTTAGAATTCCTGCGAATTTTTCGAAAATGCTGGTATTTAGATATGAGGATGTCTGTCAATTAATTGACCAAAGGTCAGGACCAATTCACCGGGATCGCAAGAGGATGAGCTAAGTTCTTCGCATAATCCAGCATTCGCAATTCTGAGGAAATGCTCCTTCGTTTATCGCTGAGTCAGATTTACGAATCCCTTCCACCAACCTTTAAAAATAAAATAAATAGCGGACAAACTTAAATCAATCAAGGGATTATTATAAACTCACTTTCTCTTCATATCTAAAACTCTTAATCAGCTTTATATCATATTTAATGATGGTAAAATCAATTAAATTTTCCGTCAACACTTACCCTCTTTTTTGATAGTTGTTAATATAGTATGAAACTCTTTTACAAGGCCCGTATAGAGAACAACCTATGAAGGGCAAAACAAACTAATCAAATAATGGAGTACCATTCATTTCATTTTAAGAGGCGAGTGAAAGAGATGCGTACATTGTTCTCACCGGAATTCAAAGGGGGGTTGCTTTGGAGATTAGAAGACATATTTTTTGCATATAAGTCCTCGACTTATTGTCCAAAGACTCCGAAGAATCCTTACTGGGATTTCGTCAGTTATGGGACGGACAGCATCAGGTCAAAACACCATGCTTTACGATAATTCCCCAAAAAGCGAAGACAATTAGAGTGGCTGGCTGCAATCCTACCTACTTCTTACAGTTTAACTCTGTTCATTAAGTGAGGCATCGCATGAATCGGTTGGGTATCCTATGCTTTTCTTACATGCTTATTGAAAAGTGAAGTATGAAATGGATGTATTTGTTATCGTACAGCTGCCTCCTCTAAATCATTTATATTTTTGATTCTGCGATGTTGCTGAATGTTTCATTGCGTGTGTGCTGTTTGAATGTAATTTTCTTGAAACGTGTAATGTGTGGAAGTGAAAACCGGCTTTGAAGCTAATCAATCCTCCTCCTCTCGCTCGGCATAATTTCTTATACGCTCTAATCCTATCCAACCGCCACAAGTAGTTTCCATCTAAATTCCTACACTCATCCCTTCTATTCAGGGTGTTGGCTGTTTTGATGAGTTATATAGATTCACTAAGATTTATCTTTTTGTTATGGTCTCTATATCTGGCTTTAGACTAGTCTATCTGGTGTCTATGTATTCGGCCATTTCTGATTCACCTGGGTGGCAGGAAAACGAGCCCAAGGCTAATTTGTACAAATCTATAGTCACATTTCCAATGCAAGCTCCCTTCGATTTCTGATGAGACCAACTTACGAATCACTTCTACTCGCCTCTTTAAGCCAAATCGAAGATATTTAAACATCATTCTATCAAAAAATTCTATGAAAAGCAGTTTTTATACTAAATTAATCAGATTTTGGTGACATGAAAGTTGAATCAATAGACTTCACTCCATAATTATTAGGCTGGCATATCAGTAGAGTATCAACTCGTGTTCTCACAGGTCAGGATTGTTTATTTAAGCGCAAAAAGCATTTTATTACATCTGCTGAAAAATGAACATAATATTCAGTTCCCTTGTCAAGATTTTATTAAATCTTTATAAAAACCATCATAATGTGATAAACTAAAAATATAATGTGATCTTCCGTGATAGTTTACCTTCATTAAAATAAATATTTTAATTTAAAACATTTTAAATTAGCAATGGGAGGTTAAAAATTAATGTATATGTAAGTCGTTTATGCTTTTTTAGAGGATCGATATAAATTGGAACGACCAAAGTTATTTTGTTGATTAATGTTACTACCCCCATTTGATTCTTTGACTTACTTGTCTTCTCCCAACCATTTCCGACCCGCTCTATTCTCTTTATACCAATTAAGTCTTATTAGTTCCTTTCGTCTAAAACTTCTGGACTATTGCCTGGTGTACTCAGATATCTCCTGACGAATAATGAATAATAGATCCGGGTGCATGATAATACTAGCCGGCAACTCACATCCTGAGCTGGTCGACTTAGTTTGTTCTCACTTGGATTTAAATGTTGGAAGATGCTCTGTATACTATAAATCTAATAGGGAAACGACTGTCGATATAGGCGAAACTGTAAGAGGTACGCTCTAAATGATTTATATTTTTCAGGTAGAGACGTTTACATAATTCAAACTGGCACAAAGGATGTCAACAATGACATCATGGAAATTCTAATAATGGCCTACGCTTGCAGAACAGCTGTAGCTCGCCGCGTTGTTGCAGTTATTCCTTATCTTCCATATTGTAAACAGAGTAAAATGCGGATGAGGGGTTCTATTACTTGCAAACTAATTGCTAAATTGCTTTGCAAAGCTGGCTTTGATCATTTAATTACTCTTGATTTGCTTACTAAGGAAATCCAGGTAAATTTTCTTGGACACCACTTAATCGACCTTCCAAATTTATTTGTCATTTTATCTTAGTCTATTCACTCGAAGGTTCATGATCTCTCATTTCAGTCATTTTTTAATTTTTGACTTAACATGGGTAGTATCTTATTTGTTTCATATCTTAATAAAGC